CCGTCGGCCAGGGTGCACCATACTTCCTTCGAATAAGCTTCCATTCGTCCGTGAATGGGGCGTCGACACCTGCAACCGGCCTGCCCTTCCTGTCAAGGAACAGGAAGGGAGGCTCCTTGCTGGCATCGTCAATGCTGGGATTCATGTTGAGGAGCGCTGGCCGGGCATACTCTGTGTAAGTCCGGATGTGCTGGGAGAGCGTCGAAGGGAGCACAATTCTCAGGGCCTCATCCTTCTTAAAGCGCTCCGTCTTGTGATGGATGGTCTCCATCACAAGACGACGGCCCCTGCTGCTGCTGCTCCTGCTGCTGCTGCTAGCGCCATGGCTGCCATCCGCCCCTGCCCCTGCCCTTGCTACAGGAATCACCTCGACCAGGTTGTTGCCGCGGCAGTCCATCTGGAAGCAGTCTTGCTGCTTGCAGGTCTGCATGCCTGACACCATCAAGGTGCTCAACACGGACAAGCGGACAGGCGGAATGTAGACACCAGATATCATCTCCGCCAGCAGCGCATGCATGAGCAGGACAGCGGTGCTGTAAGTGACGGGCCCATCAGGCCCAGCAGCAGCAAGGTCTTTCTCCAGCATCGCCTGTGCCTTATCCCACAGCGCACGCACAAAAGATAGTACCTCGCTTTTGCTAGGCAGACCATCGTCATCAGGCGGGGAAGCGGTTGTTGGTGGTGCTGCAGCTGCTGGCTTCTTCTTGGTGGCTGCTGTCTTGGTGGCAGCTGGGTGATGCTTCACAGCAGCAGCAGCAGCAGCAGCAGCAGCAGGACCACCACCACCACCACCACCAGCAATGGCACACATTTTGGACTGCTGCCGCTGGTGGTTCACCACCACCTCCGAACCCTTGTCCTCCTCCTCTGCATCCCCTGTCTCCTCATCACTTGTTACCACCAGTGTAGGTGGTGGTGCCGCCTTGGCAGCTCTTGGGTAGTTCCTCCGCACTTGTTGCCTCACCACCTTGAGCCACTCATGCACCCTGATGAGGTGTGCAACCTAATGATTATGTAGAGGGAGGGATGTAATCAAATGAATGGGAAAGGGGCACACATGTTATAGGCAGCAGCAGCACATATAGAGAATAGCACAGGGCAGGGAGAGTGAGAGTAAGATGCAACGGTGGCACTTCAATATGCACCATGGCATCCAACCGGGTGTGTGTCTGTATGTGTATCTGTGTGGGTGTGTGGGTGTGTCTCTGCGTGTGTGTGTGTGTGTGTGTGTGTAGGTGTACATCTCATACAACTATCTGACCGGGCCTGACACTGGCCAGGGGCTGCTGCCCAGTCCAATGGAAAGACCACCTAAGGGGTGAGATATGCCTCTGCCACCTCCTAATAAGCAGCTGACAGCCACAAGGCTCCATGACTGGCTCATCCACTCCTTTAGTGAGTTATACTGCACCCATAAATTTACTCACCTTCTCCTCCGGATCTGGCAGGGACCTTGTGTCGACCTGCCGTAGGTACTCCACAGCCTTGATGGAGTTCTGGAACTCCACGTCTGCTTTTGTTGAGCAGACACGATGGACCATGAAGTCCATGTAGCTGATTATTAAGTGCTGCACACGGGTAAGCATTGATGTTGTGGGAGGTGTGGGTTGTGGGGGTTGAGGTGGGGCTTAGGGTGGGGCGGGAGGTGGCATGTGTGGAGGGAGAGGATGGAGGGCATTGTATTCACAACATAGGTGTGGCATGAGCTGCGAAGCAAAAGTATAGTGTCTCCAGATTAGGGTTGCATAAATGGCGTGCGACAGCTATATGGTATTTAGGGGTTTGTCTCCATCTGTGTCACTTGTTGTTTTTGCTTGTCAGGTCCATACATCCAGCGATCTAATGTACCTAATCTTCACACCACAAAAGCACATACACATACACATACACATACACACCTGGTTGGAGAACAGCCTCAACGACAGGGAGGTCAAGCTGACCTTCATCCAGCCGTGGGCGAAGCCAAGGAACTTGGATACCGTGCTCTTGAGGCCCCGATAGGTGGATTGACGTACCATTCCAGTCCCCAGGCGCTCAAAATTGTAAGGCTGCGTCCAGAACGCCTCAAAGTCATCGATTTCGGAGGTGATGGGCATCATGGACGGCATTTTGCCTTTATATTTCTGAAATATGCCAAACTGGCTGATGTCTGTACTGTCCCACAGCTTCCTGGGGAGGGCAGTGGGAAACTCCTCCCCCACCGGGTAAATGAGCGACTTTGGGGATGCTGGGGGGGCCTGTTGTCGTGCAGCTCCTGCAGCTCGAGAGGGTGCAGGCTGGTGGCTAGTGGGGGTCGCTACTTGTGATGAAGGCAGAAGATTAGGGGAGGTGACGGGGTGGCGGGGGGTTGGCCTGCGGCCGGCAGCAGCAGCAGATTGTGCAGGGTGCACAAGGGGCGAGTTGCAACTAAGGATGGCAGTGGCAGTGGTTGCTGCTGCTGTTGCTGCTGCTGCTGCTGCTGCTGCTGCTGCATTGGTGATGGTGGCAGCGGTGGTGGCGGCAGCGGTGGCAGTGGCAGCGGTGGCAGTGTTGGCAGCAGTGGTGGCAGTGGCGGCAGTGGTAGCAGGAGCCGTAGCAGTGGCAGCGGTGGCAGTGGCAGCGGTGGCGGCAGCAGTGGAGGCGGTGGCAGTGGGCTGGGCCGCATTCATAGTCGGTGTGTCCTCTGCCTCCAGCCGATGTGTGGCCATCATGGCCCCACACCGCTTCCCTGGGGGCTGCAGCCGCTCGAATGCAGTGGCCTTGGCCAGTTGTACAGGTGTCATTTCTGGACTTGTGGCACTCAATGGCGGCCGCTTCAGTTTAAGCTCCTTGATTGCAGAAGCCACCGGAGCAAGCTCTGCACTCCGGCGCAAAGCTTTGGCCATGGCTGTGCAGCTTGCCAGCTTCACTGAAGGTGTTGAGCTGTGTATGGCTTTGATGGCCT